GAATATATTTACCCATCAATTTTTCAAGCCTAGCTAGAAGGGGATTCGCATGAGTAAAACTTTGGAGCACCCGTGCGAGCTCTTTCACACGTAAAATTTCCTTCTTAATAAAAATCAGTAAAAATTTAAAATTCTCGCATGCAAATTGGTAGCTTCATGACAGCAAAACTTTACCCAAGAATGTTCAAAGACTGCCACTTTTAAACCACGTTCGTGAAAATTATTGATCTAACCTTGTCATCACCCGATCTAAAAGGAAACCGTGATTTAACTCAAGACAACACGTAGTTGTCGTGTAGCAAAATAATAAATCACCAATATTCTTTGTAAAGTTTGAGAATCTCTATTTACAAGAGCAACCTGTCAAATGGCGAGGCTCTTAATTGCTGACAGTTCAAAGGTCGTGAGTTCGATTCGTGGGGCTCTTGGAAGGCAGGCTCCCACCTGGAAGGCAGGATTTATCCTGGAAGTCAAAGTGCAACATGTGTTAACTCGCTCAATACTTTAGTAGATCAGTTGAGGGGCTCTGAATCTGGTCAATTTGGGGCACGTCTCGTGGTTTACCTGGTATGCGTCTTGAGGAGCTAAGGCGTAGACCCAAGAATTAGCCGTCAAAGGTGGACACCTGAGTATAAAAAAAAAAGAACAACCTGTCTTCATACAAGGATGTGCCTTAGACTAGGCTACAATACAAAACTGTACAATATCATTACGTTATTGACGGTATTTAACGGTGGAAATAAAATAAAATAGAAAGGGGGACTTCGAAAAACTTATGTACTAAAAGAAGGGTTCCCTCTTGACTAATTTTGTTCTGTTCATGCTTCGTTGGCGTTTTGATGTGTCCTAAAGCTTCAAAAAAGACGTAAGCAGACACTTTCAAGAGGCAAAATTGTAACACTGGTCCTCAAGTTATTGTTTGAGTAACAAGTGGTCCCATACCTTTAAAAGTAATTAAGTTAATCTTAGGACTTCCATTATAGTTGCACATTCGTTAACAGTCATGCAAACTTTTCAAATTTAATTCATTGAATAGTTCAGTTGCGCAGCTAGGACTCAGAATATTTTTTACAAATGTTATCTATGAATTTTACTTTAATCGTCTAATAAATTTTTTTATATACACAATACCGTATAATGACCATAGACAAGGAAAAAACATAATATTAACTATTTTTAATTTTTTACAATTAAGGTTCATAGAAATTGATAAGAAGTTGTGCAATATCATGCCCATCTATTTTACTTTAAACACATCTACAATAATTCAGAGTTCAATAGGGTCAAGTTATTGGGCTAGGAGGAAGATTACCAAGGCAGTTGCTCTTCCAGTGCAGCTAACAGAGAGTATGGTGAGCTATGAGGGTGTCAGGTGCGGATTAAAATTAGATTTTTAATAGATTGTGATATAAGTTTTTGAAATGTGTGGTTGAAAATTTGTGAAACTCATGAAAGATGTGATTAATATTGACTGTTTTACTTTAACGTAGGGTGCGTTTGATTGCAGTGGTGGAAAATGGGTGGAAAGAAAATATTTTACAGGGAAAATATTTTCATGGAAATTGTTTTTCAAGGAATTGTTATTTAAGTGTGTTTTAAAATTTTCTATTCGTTTGACTTTGTTTTATATGGAAATTGTTCACTAAAGTGATATTTTTTTTCTACAATTAATTATAAAATTTGTTTCCATTGCCAAAAAGTAAAAAAAAAAAATGTTTCCTAAAAAATCATTTTTTT